GAGAAGCAGTTGGCAGTCATCTTCCTTGGAAACATTAATCTGGGGTCTGGGAGAGAATTTTATTCAGAACAGAAAAAGGGGTTCTGTTACTAAATAAAAGCTTAGAAAGCACTGACAAGCTCATGGGGCGTATTTTTTTTTAATTGGTGGTTCTACTTCTTCAGTTTTCTGAGCTTTCCCTAGGAAAGTCTTCCTGTTATAAGCCACAGTGAGACTCCCTTTGTTCTTTTTTTGCAGGATGACTTACTGTCTTTGAAGGTTGTGAGTGTGCTGCACCACCTCAGTATCAAAAGAGCCATTCAGGTCCTGAGGATCAATAACTTTGAACCAAATTGCCTACGAAGACGACCATCTGATGAGGTAGCACATCGAGGGAGGCTCAAGTAGGCACTTTACATGCATATGCCTGAAGAGCTGATCTCCTGATAGCTTTGAATCCAGCCTCACTTACTTCTTGGGCTTTCTTTTCCTGTAACCCACCTTCCCGCCCCCCCGCCCCCAACATGATGGTCCACTGTATAACCAAAGCCAAGATTTACTCATCATTTATGCTTTCTCCTTTTAATGGGTGTATTTTTCCTGCCTTCTTAATCCACAGAGTTAAATATCACTATGAAGACTTCCTTTTCCTTTTCTTACTAGTGTGTAAGAAAACTTGAAACTTTGTCGTATAAATCCTTTAAAAGAGAATTCAAATTATCAAATACCTTTTATCCTTTATTTTAAACCTTTCATGGGATGTTAAGTGGTGGTACTCAATGGGGCAGACTTTTTGGAGTTTTGTGGGTTTACTATTGAGGATCATGTTGTCCCAACATCTAAAGCTCATGGTAATTTTTTTTGTTCATACAGAATAGCATCACCCCATCCGAGGTTCAGCAATGGACCAATCATCGAGTGATGGAGTGGCTGCGCTCTGTGGATCTGGCAGAATATGCTCCCAATCTCAGAGGCAGTGGTGTCCATGGTGGGCTCATGGTAAAGCCCTGTTACTATTCAATTGACTTCTCATTTTGTTTCCTTTTAATCTAAAAAGTGTGGTGTTACAGGTCAGGCATCCCTAATCTGAAATCTGAATTGCTCCCAAATCTGGAAACTTTTTGAATTTCCATACCACAAATGGAAAACTTACACCTGACCTCATGGTATGGGTTGCAAAGTGCAGATGTGCAAGTCCAAAACACTTCTGGTCCTAAGCATTTTGGATAAAGAATAACCTTTATTAGTTTACTTGTTCTAATCCTAAAGTCATCTTTCCCAACACTCCTGTACTATTTCTAGTGAGTTTTACTCTCAGGGTGTTTTTATTTATATTATAAAAATCTAGATCCGATTGAAATTCATTCTTCTTGTACTGTTCTCTTTTATGTTGAATACCTATCTTTCATATGATCATGATTTAAAACACTTGCAAAAAAAATAGATTATATCTCTGCACATACATGTTGCATAAGGAGTTAGCTTTCAGAGTCAGCACTCCAGAGAGGTACAAGTGCTGGTGTGGTTAATAAGGCCTGAAGCCTGGATTATAGGACCAGCCCCACCATTTCCTAACTCAGGAAAAATAAAGAAAAAATACATAAATTAAAAATCAAAGTCCATAGCCTGTCTACCTCTCTGTACTGTTGAAAGGGTCATTGGAGATAACCCAAATGAAAGAGCTTTGCAAATTGTAAAGTACAATACAAAACGTAATAACTATCGTACTTTTTAATAATCTTAATTTTTCTTAAAATTTTTTTTAAATTTTTCTTAATTAATCTACAGGTTCTAGAACCTCGTTTTAATGTAGAAACAATGGCGCAGTTATTAAATATTCCACCAAATAAGACACTGTTGCGAAGACATTTGGCCACTCATTTTAATCTCCTAATCGGTGCTGAGGCCCAACATCAGAAGCGAGATGCCATGGAGTTACCAGATTATGTACTTTTAACAGCTACTGCCAAAGTGAAGGTTAGCTCAACTCACCTGAAGCAAAGACTCAGTTTCAGCTGTTACCCGGTTACTCTATTTTCTGGGGTTTACTAACTTCTGTGGGTTGATGAGATATATATCTTAAAGGTATATGTGTGTATGTGTGTGTGTGTGTATACATACACACATGTGTGTCTATGTTTATATCTTTAAGAGTAATTTAGATAATGCATTCTTAAAGGTTTCTGTGTAAATTATTTTTTTTATTAGCATTAACAATGATAAAGAGCATGATGTTGGTTGGCTTCTATAATCAATGTATTGCCAAAGAGTGGGAATTATTTTACCAGTCACTATCCTGATATGGCAGCAGAACAGGCATATAAAATAATGAAAGCTTTACCCAAAAAGAAATTATAGTAAGGATCTTTGTTTGTTTGTTTGTTTGGTGCTCTTAGATTGAAAATCTTCACAAAATTGGTTTTATCCCTGAGAAATTCCATCATTGCACTAATCCTGCTTAAAAACATAAAGGTTTTTGACAAATTTTATCACAGTGATTGTCCAGCTCATGGTATGAATAAGATTAATCTTAGGCTTCATAACAAGGATTATTTATGATATTGATGTATTACTCATATGCCTAGGATGTATTTGCTATGCAAATTCAATCATCCAGTTGCTTTTCTCCATGAGAAGGGGTGAATAATAATACATTATTCTTTCTTTGTCATATGAACTTTATCAAATTCCTCGGTCATTTTGTTTGCTTTTAAAGCCAAAGAAACTTACCTTCAGCAATTTTGGGAATCTGAGAAAAAAGAAACAGGAAGATGGAGAAGAATATGTTTGTCCAATGGAATTGGGACAGGTATCAGGAAGTGCCACTAAGAAGGGGTTTAAACCTGGTTTGGATATGCGCCTATATGATGAAGACGACTTAGATCGGTTAGAGCAGGTAGGTGCACCCAGCATTCAGATGCTAAATGGAATCTACACTGTTAACTACTAATCAAGGATGTTTTCTTTAAATGCCTAAAAAATATAATAAAATAACAATGAGTACTTAGAGATTGCTTATTACTTTGCTGATTCTATCCAAAACACTGAACATATTAATATTCTTGGTAATCTTAAGACATAGAATATTGTAATCCACATTTTAGACATAAGAAAGCTAAAGCACAGACAGCTAAGTAACCAGCTCAAGGTCTCTAGCCTACCAGGCTAGATCCAAAGCCTGTACAATTTACCTGTGTTGTATGTTTCTGTGTGAAGGAAATCTGTGCACTAGAACAAGTCAGGATTGGACAGGTCCTACGACCTAGGCTTTTCAGATTCAAGCTACACACTGCATGTTTGCCCTCTAATCAGTAGTCCTTTGGTGCCATTGTCAGAGTCATCAGACTAGATGTTCTAGTCCAGTGTTCCTTCTAATAATGAAAAGAGATTATCATCAAAAATGTTATGTTGCTTCTACCCATTCCATACTATTTGTGTTATTTCTGCAATTTTTCTGTTTTTCTTCTACTTTTATTCATATTTCTGCTGTTTCCTTGAAATTATGAAAATGAGTATGTCATGTCATGATTTGTCCACAGATGGAAGATTCGGAAGGGACAGTGAGACAAATAGGGGCATTCTCTGAAGGCATCAACAATCTCACAGTAAGTTTGAAAAATGAATTGAAACCTAAAATAACCCCAAAGGATTGTATGTATACTGGAGAATGTGTAGTTCTGAGCTCAGAACTCAAGAGTGTGAATCCCTGTCTGCTTGTTTTTCAGCACATGTTGAAGGAAGATGACATGTTTAAAGATTTTGCTGCCCGCTCTCCCAGTGCCAGCATTACAGACGAAGATTCAAACGTTTGACCTGGATGAGCAGTAGGAGCCCTTTGTCTTTTTTCCACTTTATTTTTTAAATACTTACATTGTGTACTATAAGCAACAGACTGTATATTGTTTATCATTCCAACTTTTTCTTATTTAGAAGTGGAAATGGACAACAGGAGAATTGTGCCTATTCAGAATTTGCCACAAAAAATGAGACACTGGTGAATGAGAGTATAATTTTTGTTCCTCTATTTAATGTAAAAATCCATGATGTATTGTATTTAAAGTGTTGCACTTAAGATGAGTATTTTATGTTTCCATTCACATCCCAGCATGGAGGATTGGGGGAGCAGTAACCAGGGTGTGAATGACTTTGACACATCATTGGTCACTGCAGCCATCTAAGCAGGACACTCTGTGCTCAGAGGCAGTGTA